CACCACTGTTTTGATCTCGTCCCTAGTATCAGCCCTCGGATGGTCTCGGCCCGCGCCCTTCTGGCTTGGACCGATTCCAACCGCTCGGGCTGATACCAGGGCCGAGTTCAAAACAACAGTGTGATATTCTACGAGGGTCATTCAAAAAATACGTAGACAATGCTTCTCATCGTCATATAATTATTACAAGATTATAGATCAACACATTTTCGTAAACATAATCATTTATTTTGTCGAAGTGTGAAGTTTTATTTCATTTGATGAAATGGAACTAATGTTAGCCAAAATTTAATCCAACATGTTTTGTTACCACGGAGCACGGTTATCCAACATTGTAACGTCAAAGACAACGTTGAGAAAGTTTGTCAAAATTATACTTATTTTCTTAATTTCAAACACGGTTTGTAGCGTCTTCTCCATTCAAAAAAACATATCCATAACACTTAACACCTAGTTTGCGAACAATTGTACAAATATAGCTTGAATAACAATGTCATTGTTTTTAAATTGTTTGATTTACCATGTAACTCTATTAATTCTGCAACCGTGAAGCGCGCATCACGTTCAATGACGTTCATAACTCTTTCGACAATATTTTCAACGTTAACCTGCTTCTTTGAAGACAACAATCCATCGTCCGATTCAAACTCGCTACCACTTAAAAATTGTATTTTCCATTTAATACAGATACACAGATTATTTTTCATACAGATCCTGGTTTATAAGGATTTTTAAGCTTGTAGAAGAAGTTTCCCTAATGTAAAGTACATTTTTATTGCTACTCGCTGCTCCGTGACGTCCTCCAACGTAATGCTTTTTTGCTTTTTTTAATCAAGTTCATATTTATTTAGAAACTGATATCTTTTATATGGAGTGACATATTACATAACCTGATTTCATTTTAATTAATACAGCAATACCTTATTTGAGCATGTAAATTTTATTTAGTTTCGGCTCCATTTATTAGAGGTATGGCTGTAATTTACTCAATTTTGAGGGTGCTCCGCGACCCAATTTTTGCTGTCTAAATCCGTGATAATTTAAATAAATGTGAAGATACATTCCAATTTTTTTACTCAAATTATTTGAATCTGTTGTTAAAATATTTGTTCCAAATTTGGATATAATATGACGCTAAATAAAAAAGTTAGGACAAAAGTCTACGAACTTTTTGAATGACCCTCGTATATGTACTGTGGTAATTGGTCCAGTTATAAACATTCATAAAACGGATCTATAGGCGGATTTCAGATTAAATGTTCACTGCTTGTCCCAAAGCATGGTTCTTTCAATATACATGTAACATTCATAATAATTCTAAAAGTCTTAAAATTACTATTAAAAGACGACATTTTGAATAAGATATAATATTTTTTTTTTATTTTTACAGGTTTAAAAGCTTGATCGATAACCTTATGTCACTTTTACCGACACTTTCCTACATCAACCTTCAAGTAAAGGTTGATCCAGGGATAAGAAATGATACAAACAGACCTAATACAAGTCCTGTTGTTCTTGTCAAACCTCTTTATAGGTAAACAGTTTTCTTTAAGAGTAAATGTTAATTATTTGATATTCTTTAATCATGCACTTAGCGCCACTTAGAACCCATTTTTAAAGCAACGTGTATAGATTTAATATACAGTATGCTTTTTCGATCCACGAAACATTCATTCGATACAATATCAACAATAAATTAGGAACATTTACTAAATTTTTTTGTATGATTCATAGTATATAAAAATGAAATGCCCTTCTAGTTAGTACGAGAATAAACGTTTACATTATTGCAGAAAAATAAGGAACGGCGTTATTGTTTCGTACTTTTTTTGCAAACTTTGCCGGTAAATTCTCTTACTTACAAACAAAGATTGATTGATATTTTTTATGAAATAAAGTGAAACATATGGAGATAACGAACAGTATTCAATATCAAAAAATCCTTAAAACAATACAAAACAGAATAAAAGCAAACACGGACCTCCAAAACATCAGAGGCAGGATCAGGTGCCATAGAGGAGAGAGCATCTCATACCAACCGGTCAAGCCCGCCTGTTGCTCCTTTTCATGATTGCGAAATAAAGTGAAAATTCCGTCGACAACTTAGTGTGTGTATATAATGACCTAACAATTAGTATGAATAATTTCAGTCAGTATTTGACTTAATAATTATAAATGAAAAGATAGAGATCTTCAAAGCTGTTTTATCCAAATTACTAAAATACAATTTGTCATTTCCTCAAGAAAGCTAAGTTAACTGATTCAGGCAAATCATTTATCAATTCATGTATAACGTTTTAAGGATGAATTCTGCTGATCATTTTACCACAAGTGGGTCTTTGTACTTAAACATGTCGTAAAATTCAAACTGACAACAATTTACAAACAAGTTTTTAAAGTTTTTATGATTTACATGGTTAACTATACTTATTTTTAAATAAAAAATCTTTCTAATTTGTATTGATGACCAAGACGTGTGGAAAAATACGATATTTACGACATAGGCCTAAGAAAGTCGACAAGTGAAATCGACATGATCGAGAGGGGAAGAGCACGGGATCTCCCGTTTCAAAGCGAACAGGAATACCCAATGGCACTCCGTTAAAAGAGCCAACCGACAGAAATTTTAAAACATTTAAAAAATCGCCGATATCACAATCAGGCCATGTACATTCTCGAAAGCGGTCCCCAAACATGCCAGCCAAGAGCGCCGAAGTGTGCTGACGACGTTCCAGTAGCAGTGGAAAAGCGAAAATGTAGGTTTCCGATGCTTTCAAACTTATTGAAATAGCAATGTTTATGCATTATAGATACAAAAGTTTCAAAATACCTAGTATACTGTCACATCGCAAACTGAACATATTATATTCTACATACATGTACGGAACGTTAGGCATAAGGGGTCTTCAGATTCGTGCAGACGACAGCATTCGTATTATCCTTTTCATTGCAACTTTAGCTCGTAGTATATGGTAAAATTCCTTTGATATTGTAAATGCAGAATATCTATCCAAAATTTATAGACATTACGAAAATAATAAGATAACATCTATAATTTTTAGCTGTTTACATTCGATAAAAACTAGGTCGCTTCATTCTATGGCGGTCTATGCGGGTAAAAAAAATGGAATATTTCTGAAACATCATAGAACATATAGAAATTATTTGATTCTAAACTACAGGCTTGGGTTCATAAAAACAAAGTCAGATAAACAAAATAATAATTTTACATTTTTGAACAATGAAATTAACAATAATTATAATGTATTTTTTTTCTAAAAATTTTTTTCAGGTAAGTCCTCGTTGTCACAAGAATCACAAATGAACTTTAGAAGAGAGCAGGTTTTTAGAACCACTAGAATCGGATGGAGAAATCCATACAAATCAAATTGAGAAAGTGTGACTGGATTTGACTAATCCCAGGGAAGCCACCATCCAACACCACAAACCAGAACCCAATTCAGAACCCGCAGGGCAAGAGAAAGAGAGGATATCTAACAAACTATTATGAAGTTTTATTTGTTAAATAATTACTTTTTGTTCATAAAAAGCTTTTCTTAACAAAATTGCAATTATTACCTGAAATTATCACACAAATTTTGAATATTTGGCGAATAAAAGACATACTTTGAAGCCTAAATGCCTTAATTTATTTTCATTAAATGCTAAAAAAAGAAATAGGGGGTGGGGATATAAAAAATATCAAAACTTTCTTATATGTACACTAACCCCTACTTTTCATACTATGAAATGGAACCATAATACCTAAAGAAACTGTACAACAATTTTCTCAAAAAGTTTAATTGTAGAAATATGTTTTTCTCTGTTTTTTTTGAGCAATTTTATGGGGAAAAATTTACCTAAATTTGACACCGGTGAGCAACATTTTTAGGTACAAGTTATCTATTTGGTGTTTATTTGCTCATATTTTGCTTTAAAAATTCACTTTGCAATACTTTCAAGTAAATTTAAGCCAAATTAGGTTTAAATTGAGTGTATTTGTAACTTTATGAGGTATTTTTATGGTCTAATAGCTATCTTAGTGAAATTTCCCATGCTCTATTTTGGCCTATGTTGGAGGGGTTGAATCTCTCTTGGATGAACACTAACATACACTTTTCTTGTCTTTAAATTATTCCTTGGATATTACACTTTCAGAAAAGTATAAGCATGTGGAAAGTTTAATGCACGTTTTTTTTCGCGTATCAGCAGAATACATCCTTAAATGGTTTTTTTCAAATTATTCAAGTTTAGAACTTGGCAAGGTGCACACTATACATCTGACATCTGTTGACAATGATGGGGATGCAATACGTTGTGATAGAGCTTTATATGAGGAGTCTTCAGGCTTGGGACCACTTTTAACTAACCTAACGAACCAAAATATATTCTCTCTTGATCGAGTGGTATGTAATTTTATTCTTTTGGATAAAATTAAATATTTCATATGGCAAGATCTTTCACTATTTATTATGATATTATGATATCTTAATATTACAGAGATATTTCTTAAATAAGAGAGATACCTCCTAAAGAGATATCTCTTTCATTTATAAAGGTATTTCTCCGTCACTTACAGAGAACTCTTTAACTAAGAGAGATATCTCATCTACTTAACGAAATATCGTTTTCCATATCAAAGATATCTTATTTGATAAAAAAGATGCATATAGAAATAACGAACAGTATTCAACACCAAAGTCCATTAAACAATACAGAATAGGAGCAGAGAAAACACGGACCTCCGAAAGATCAGAGAAGGGGTCAGGTGCCATGGATGAGTGAACATCCCCTGCTGACCGGTCACACCCACCGTGTGCTCCTTGTCATGATCGGGGAATAACGGAAAATCCATTGTCAATTCAGTGTATAAATAATGGACTAAAAATGAGAAATGCATTTTCGGTCAAAATGCACTACCTCATATAATTTTTTGTATTTTCACTTTAATTCATTTTACATATCTTATATTGTAGCTCGTTTTTATCTTCCAGAATTGTGTTATGAAAATCAGAGCCAATCAAAGTTATTTTCACGAAAGCGATACATTTGGTATACCAATCACAGTAAAAGACTACAGCAAATACAATATTACAATTCAAGGAACAGCATTGTTACTTCAAATCCCTTATATAAGCGTTCTTGGACGAGTTGTAGTCATGGTATGTCTCAAAATTAAAAAAAAAAGCATTAGATACCAGTCGAACGATTTGCTAATTAAAATATTTCCTAAATAAATTAATCAGAAATATATCATGGCTTAAATATTCCACGCCAATTTATTAATTTAGATGTATTTCAAAATAACTGGGAAAACAGATCCACCTGAAATCATACCACCCACTCCAAGTAATAACCAGGAGTATACCATTTATGTTGGAGGAGATTTTCATGTCAATGTATATGCCAAAGCATCAGCTGGAAAGTAAGGTTTTGTCTTCAAATTCTTATTAAAATCACTTTTTGACGTGTGGCCACTTTTGACACAATTGCATTATATTTTAGGCATATAAGGCGATTTGATTTTCTTCGACGAGATGGAAAACCTGTCAACCACACGGGCATTCAACCTGCACCTAATATCAGTAGTAATGTTGTATTTATATCAATGTCCTGGTCTCCGACAGAAGTAGAAAAAGGTCATCATATTCTCTGTGCAAATGCTGAGGATAACGAAGGGTAAAGTAGAATAGAGTTTTAGTATATGTTGACAAAAATCATAGAATAAAAGCCGACTTGTTAATGGACACAAAGCATGCAGTTAATAATCAATGGATATTGATTGAAATCTGCGGGTCAAGCACGTTTTAGCTAGACGTAATTTAATTTTCGTAGGTGTCATTACTCTTGTATGGCATTTAACATTTGTAACTTCAAAACAAAATAACATGCATTTCCTCTATGGAAAAGAAAGTTAAACTAATCAAGAAGTGGAATGTATAGTGAGTTAACCATACATCGGACGCATACTTTGATTCGAACATTTTTCAGATAAGCAATAAACTCCTTCTAAAGAGTTCATGTATACACTTGTTTCTGTCTTAAAGCTCACGATTAAAATTCTTCAATAATACCATCTTTATTATCATTTTGTGATAAAACAAATTTTAAATACCCTGAAAATGGCCTTGAAGTTACATTATATTTTACATCACCAAAGCGGAATAACTGGAGTTAAGAATCGTTCCTTAAATTATGCCTCGGAACAAGTCTGATTAAGACAATCATTTGTAATTTGACACAACTTTATAAGAAATTTCACTTCAATATTTGTATAACTCTTTTAGAGTTGTTTTTTTTTTTACATTTATGCTCATTTAACTGTACATCGGACAGAAATTAACTACATTTAACAATTTCCAATGCATAGGTAATCACTTCCATTTTGATACCAAACTCAACTGACAGCTGTTTTTTTTTTGTGGTAATAGAAAATAAACAAGAGGCCCATGGGCCTTATAGGTCACCTGAGTATTGTGCAACAACTTTCAAACAATTAAATTTGGTTTGTGTTTTAAACCAGAGGCCATGAAATTTGCAATTCATAATTTTGAAAGAGGCACCATTGCTTATCATAATTATAGACTTAGCATGCTTACTCTATTTACTTAATACCCAGAGGTAGATCAGAGTAACATTAAGAGAAAATACACCTACACTTTATAACCAGTTTTGCACCTCACCCCAAAGAAACCACTGACCCTGGGGACACATATTTCAAAATTTTGCAAATTTTATCATAAAATGGTGTTTAATACCAAAGAGCAGATTTCAAAGCAGTAATTTATTTTCAGACTATGTACCCCACCCCCGACCCATGGAGGGAGGGGGCATGAAAAATAACCATTTTGCTAGATGCACCTTTCTTCATCATCAATATATACGAGGGTTGTCCCAAAATTCCGTAGACAAGCGTTGCTTTGTAGGAACCCTACGTCATACATTAATGAAACTTCGTATATAGATTAAACCAATACTATCTAATAAATTTATGGACAAATATGGAGAAACTACACAAATTATTCCAATTTAAAAGACACATTTTATTGTCTAGTGTAGGAAGGTGGCGCAATACTCAAAAGTTGCAAATAAAACTTGGCATGTTATATTTAAAATCCTACGGAAAAGTAATTACCACCCCGTATTTTTTTAAAGGAATGAAAATTCTTAATAATGTTTTATTAACTATATTTTCTCAAATTTTGGTGTTTATGCTTTGATAAATACGAATTTTATAACGTTTTATATACATGGGGTTGAAATCGGACTTTTTGCAAAATGGCGCCTGCGTAGGCACAGGCGGCGCACTGGACCATAATCAACTGTTTTGATCCTGAATTCACTCTTACAGAAATGTACCAGTCATAAATGTTTGGTAGACTAGGAAACTTTTTCTTGTCCTTAGTATTTAAAATGACAAAAACGGTTTCTCTATGTATATGTGAGTAACAGTAACTAAAATAAAGACAGGGCTAAGAAATGGGCAAGAGTTCCATTGTGCAACTCCATTAGAGGAAACAGACGAAAAGCCCGTATAAATATAGCCTTTTCAAATCATCATTATTTCATACCTGTACCTGCATATACTTTGTTTACATATTTTAAAGTTTTAGCATATCATCATATCATCGTAATTAAGATATTTCACATTATTTATAACTATAACTCTTCAGTTTAATTTAAGAATTTGATCCTGGTAATCGAGATATTTTTGCCAAAAATTTGACCCGTTGACATTTGTATTTTTTGACGTTGCTGATTGCTCCGGATGTTAGAGAACGATATCACTTTAGATGTTATTACTCGAAAAGTTTTCAAGTAAACATGATAAAACTTCGTAATTTATCTGCCAAGAACACGCTTTATCCACCATGAAAATTTTTTAAAGATACATTAATTTCTTTGAAAGATATGAGCCCAGTCTACGAAATTTTGGGACAACCCTCGTATATTTGGATCATTGGCATAAAACCCAGGAGCAAAGGAAAGATTTTCAAAGAATTAATGTATTTTCACTATGTAATCAAGAGCCCCGTCCTAACACCAGAACACCTTACCCTGGGGCCACAAAATTCACAATTTTGGAAGAGGCACTCTTGCTTATCATAATTATGTACTTAGTTAGTTAATTTAATACTTAGGAGCAGAGAAGAAGATTTTCAAAGAATTAATGCATTTTCACTATATGATTAATGGAGCCCCGCCCTAACACCAGAACCCATGACCCTGGGGCCACAAAATTCACAATTTTCGAAGAGGCACTCTTGCTTAACATAATTATGTACTTACATAGTTTATTTTATACCCAGAAGCAGAGAAGAAGATTTTCCAAGACGTAAATTGCATTTTCACTATATGATCAATAGAGCACCGCCCTAACACCAGAACCCATGACCCTGGGGCCATAAAATTCATAATTTTGGAAGAGGTACTCTTGCTCATCAGTACTAAGTGATTGGTTAGTTTATTTAATACCCAGGAGCAGAGAGGAAGATTTTCAAAAAATTAATGCATTTTCACTATATAATCAATAGGGCCCACCTTACACCAGAACCCCTACCCTGGGCCACAAAATTCACAATTTTGGAAGAGGCACTCTTTCTCATCATAACTATGCACTTAGTTAGTTTACTTAATACCCAGGAGCAGAGAAGAAGATTTTCAAAGAAATCATGCATTGTTGCAACCACTATTGAAATACAACCACTATTGAAATAATTATATCAATAGTGGTTGAGAATGCATTTCAATAACAAACAAAGGTAATAACCACTATTGAAATACAATCACTATTGAAATAATCATTTCAATAGTGGGTGAGAGTGCATTTCAATAATGACCATAGGTTTCAACCACTATTGAAATACGACCACTATTGATATAATTATTTTAATAGTGGTTAAGAGTACATTTCATTAACAAACAAAGTATGCAACCACTATTGAAATACGACCACTATTGAAATAATTCTTTCAATAGTGGTTGAGAGTGCATTTCAATTACAAACATAGTATGCATTCACTATTGAAAAACGACCATTACTGAAAGAGTTATTTCAATAGTGGTTAAGAGTGCATTTTAATACCAATTGACATAAGTTGCAACCACTGTTGAACTGATGTTTACTTTTAAAAATAAATATTTCAATATATTAACATATAGATTTTAAAAGTGATTGACATATTGATTTCAGTAGTGCTTAAAACTATGATTTTAATGGATATTAAAATAATTAATACATGCAGTTGCTGACAATGCTTCTAATACCAAAACCACACTGCAAGCTCTACTGAAGTATCCCAAATATAAAAACAAATATAAGAATAAATTACCAGTATAGTTTTCTAACACAATAAACTATTTTTTTGAGTTTAAAATATAACAAAAGTTGTTTTGTTTTCCTTTTTTGTAGAAATTTCAATTAATACACGGACACTTTGTATTATACTGACTGACCTATAATTCAACATGTATGCAAATGTTATAAGCAAGCTCCTTTCAAATCTGGCCGATTCGAGATGAAGGAAGAAGTATTTTTGATAAAAAGAATTAAGTATAGAATTAAATTATTGCTTATATTCATGGGATTTCCTAAACTAAAAATACGGATAGTAAAGCCAATATCTACTCGTCAAGACATTAAAAAGCAAAGTTTCCAGGGAAGTTAGTATTAGGTTTTTTAAAATAGTATGTGTGATTAAAATGTGTTGGTACGATGTTTTGAAACGCATTTTCAACTTTTTTCTTTAAAAAAAAATGATCATTCACAAGTAGTCGTAATTTTAAAAGTAAACTCAATAAATGAATTAGAAATGTTGGAGATCATAAAGAACCATTAATCCTTGTATTTTTTTTTTATACTTAAGTTATTTCAAGAAGTCTTGCAATGTGCTTTAACATTGATTAATAGCAACTATGGACATAATTAGTTAAATCACTTTTAAAATCATTATTTCAAATGTGCACATTCTATCAATAGTGGCTGTAACCTATGTTTGGTATTAAAATAAACTGTCATCAACTATTGAACTAATTATTTCAATAGTGGTCGTATTTCTATAGTAGTTACATACTATTTATGTCATTGAAATGCACTCTCACCCACTATTGAAAAAATTATTTCAATAGTGGTTGTATTTCAATAGTGGTTGTATTTCAATAGTGGTTATTACCTATGTTTATTATTGAAATGCACTCTCAACCACTATTGATATGATTATTTCAATAGTGGTTGTATTTCAATAGTGGTAACTAACTATGTTTGTTATTGAAATGCACTCTCAACCACTATTGATATAATTATTTCAATAATGGTTGTATTTCAATAGGGTTACTTACTATGTTTGTTATTGAAATGCACACTCAACCACTATTGATATAATTATATCAATAGTGGTCGTTATTTCAATAGTGGTTGCAACAATGCATTTTCACTATATAATCTATATAGCCCCGCGCTAGCACTAGAACCCCTGACCCCAGGGCCATGAATTTCACAATTTTGGTGAAGGACTCAATGCTCATTACATTCATGCCAACAGTTTGCCTGCTTAATGTCCAGCATTAAAGAAGATTTTGAAAGATTGCAATAATTTTAGTGGTTTTGGCCCACCCCTCAGGCCCCAGGGGGGTGGGGACCATAAAATTCACAATCTTTGTTCCCCTTCACCCATAAATGCTGTATACTAAATTTGGTTGAAATAGATTGAGTGGTTTCAGAGAAGAAGCTGAAAATGTTCAAATGTTAACACACGACGCACGACACACGATACACGACGACGGACGAAAACGGATAGCAATAGGTCACCTGAGTTACTCAGGTGACCTAAAAATCAAAGTTCTCAGTGAATTCAGTTCCAGTTATTGATATACATTGTATGCAAACATTTTGAAACCTTTCTAAGGAAAATGGGTATCATGAATTTTTCCACATTCGATATGCAAGCGCATGATCTACGTGTGAACAATTTCTGAAATGAAGTAAATTTTTGAAAAAAAAAGTTGATGAAAGAAGTATATAAGCAGTCTCTTTTAAAGTTAACATTTCTTAAGTTCTAACATTCCAATACAATCTAACGTTTTTCATAGTGATTGTTATTCCACTATTTATGCATTGCATAGGCGTCGGAACCGGGCGAGCTATAGGGGCTTACCCCCCCCCCCACTTTTTTGCAAAGATAGACATGTTAAAGGCATTTAAAATCGGGATTTAGATTTTATTTGGTTTAGCCACCACTCCCATCCCCAGTTTCATTTAGCCCCTCTACCCTGGTTTCAATTTGCTTCCAACGCATATACATTTAATTAACGATCATGTCAAAGAGCTCAAAGGGGGTATGACCGGTCACAGGGAATGCTTACTCCTCCATGGCACCTGATCCCACCTCTGATGTTTTGAAGGTCCGTGTTTGCTCTGCTCCTGTTTTGTTTTGTTTTATGGACTTGAATAATGTTCAAAATCTCAATCAAAAATCTTTTTGCAGCGATATTGTCAATTAAATTTAAGTTAAGGGTTTATTGTTAAATAAAAGAGAAAATATATATTCATTAAAATAATAAATTACTAAAACTAATCACTACATTACATATTACAAAAAAAAATATATAAATTTATATAGCATGTTTAACTGTGACAATATAAATGTGTAATTTACATGTATAGGGAGAGGACGTTATATAAGTATTCAGTACTTGTGCTCAATCCCTTTGTAATTATATTACAATAAAATATGTTTAAATCGATTATTGATATGAATATATATTTTCTAAAGGACAGTTTCACTCAATTGTGTTTTTAATAATTCAAACAGGAGGTTAAGCAAAAACAAGCTTCAAATAGCCAGAGTTGTCTTGTCTCATTATCAGGAAAATTTGTGGATATAAATATCCTTACTTCAATATATTGATTCTAAAATATTACAATTAGTCCTTACTTTCCTCTGTTACAGAAGAATGACTGTGGACTTACACTGCTTCCGCATCCTGGTCAAAGGTTTGGGCATTCTCAAATTATAAAAAAATTCGATGTTTTTTTTTAAACGACAAAATGTAAAGAAGTTAAGAAAAATGAAGAATCAGATGATGGTATCCATTTTATTTATTGAAATATTTGAAAAAACACATTGACCTATAATATATATAAAGAATTCATTTATGCAGCATACATATTTGAGGTAGAAAATGCTGTGCAGCAAAATGAACTTTGAAATGACAGACAAATATAACAATTTACTCTGACAATTTTAACAGGAAAAATATTATAACGTATAAACTTCGCAGATAAAATATGTCATACCCAAATATTCAATAGTAAAGTAACAAATATTAAATATGAAAGATACATCCGATATCAGCTGAGTGGACAATTTCTTCTTTAAATGTAATACTGCCCAATTTTGCTTAGTTTGAACTGTTACTTATACTCAAGGTTAATTAAAACTATTGGATAATATTAAAGGGACCAATGAAATTAAAGATAGAGAAATATTTAAGATTACTTTAGATGAAGCGAAAAATAAAATGATACAATAACTAATAAATACATAAGAGATAAATTATTAAATTTGGTCTTCCACAAAAAATGTCAAACTGCTTAGAAAAGAAAAGATTAATATTAGACGGGATAGGTAAGATTTAATTATCTGAAATATTTAATAAAAACGTATTCTATAATCCATACCAAATGTATTTTAGAGTCTACATGTATATTAATAATCTTTAATAAGTAAGTAGTGTTTTTACTAAATAATTGTTTTTTCTCAGAAAACTACCATTTTTTGCTTTATTTTCGTTTACTTTGTTTTTGATTGATCTCTTATGAAAGAGAAAACAATTTTAAATATATTTTTTGTATCTTTCAGAAAATATATTTCGACCAACAACTGCCGAAAAAGTAAGTCGTTTTATACATAAACAAACTATATGGAAACGAATTTGGCATTCATTTTTGTCTTGGCAGAAAATAACTACTTAAACTTGAAAAAATAGTTCTTAAACAAAAGGAAATTTTGAACATTTCCTGTTTCACAAATTTTTATCAAACTACCTTTTTCTAGCGTATATTTCATTCATTTTATGTGTTAAGTTTTTTTTTATAGGGAAAGCCCTACTTTGTTTCATTCCCAGAGACAACAGATTTATCATGCAAAAAAGACACCTATTGTCAATTTCCTGTCTATGCCTACACTACAAATGCTGGGTATGTCATCTAATAACCTAGAAATTCCTTTCCTTATTCATAAAATTCACTGAAATTATAAAGTTAAAAATATCACATGAAGTATAATTATGATATTTAAATATGCAGAAAATAACTATGTATCAATAATATATTTCAGCTAAAATATCGCTTTCTATTTGTTAAGTTATCAAGAAACGTTTCCAATGATATATATAGAGAATAATACATACCCTTTTCCATATCACATCCTGTATCAGCCCGAGACACCAATATCAGCCAGAGGGCCGAAGGCCCGAGGGCTGATATTGGTCGAGGGCTGATACAGGATGTGATGTGGAAAAGGGTATGTCTTATTATATTTATTACATACTCTTAGTAATAAAATACAGTTGAGAAGAAAATAAGTAAATAATCATGCATGGACTTCTTACATACATGTACATAGTCTAATGTCTCATAAGATTTGGGTTTGTTTCTATTTCTATTTCAATGCACTTGATCCGTAATTTGAAAATATTCTATAGTATTACATGTATTTGTAAATTAAGATTAACCTTATTTTCAAAAAGTTAAAATTAAGAGAATATGAACCCACCAAAAATTGTGTATGAGTACAAGTACTGTTATTGTGGTTTAATTTACTAAGGGTGTGATATTGACGTCACAATAGCCGTATCAGCCCTGCAGGGCTGATATGGATTTGCAGGGCTGATACGGATATCAGCCCCGCAAATCCATATCAGCCCTGCAGGGTTGATACGGCTATGGCATATGCAAAAAACCTGTATTTATTACTAAGTGTGTAATAAATGGAGATAACGAACAGTGATTCCAAAAGACTATTAATAAACATGAATTAAAACAGAACGAACAGGAACCTTCAATACATCAAAGGTTGGATCAGGTGTCATGGAGGAGTGAGCATCCCCTGTCGACCGGTAACACCCGCCGTGTGCTCAATGTCATAACGTGAAAATAACGGAATAAAACATCGACCACTGAGTTAATATAAGTACTGACCGAATACTGTAAATCACTTCTTATTCGCGAAAACTTTATTTTCGTGACAGTGTGCTCGCGAAAACCACGATTCGTGAAAATTTTCTCTCGCTAACCAAGAGACAATGAATATCTCCCGAAAATTTAGTGATTTACAGTAATTATTTTTGAAAATATTTTGAGTGTTGCCACTTGTCTTGTCAATCAAGCATCGTTTTATGAGTGTTTGTGCGTACAATAATAATGGTTTTTTTTTTTTTTTTTTTTTTTACAAAATGAATTTGCAAGCAACAATGACAACGTGAGTAAATTAACGTTTTCATTGAAAAAGTATCTGTCAATGATATCAAAAAAAATCCTGGAGTTTAATTCATTAAGGGGAATGGTTGTTTTTTTAAGTTAAAAAGTCGTGAGTTTTTAGGCCTTGAAATTGAAATTGGTGAATTTAGAGATTTCAAATTATCAATTCTAAAATATCCATATTTGATTTACACCACTTCTAAAATATACTATGCAGCAAATCTGATGCTTCTATTTCACTACTGTTAAAACTTTAATGAGGAGTAAAGTTTAATTGATTGTATTTAACATGTATTTAACGTCCCATTCAAGAATGTTTCATGCATACAGAGACGTCACCGTATGCCAGTGAGGGGCTTCAAATTAGGATCTATACTCGGCTCTCAGTGAGGATTTTTTATCATGCCAATGCCTACCGTGACACGGGACCTACGTTTGTAAGGTCATATTAAAAAGACCTCTGACTTTAACTTTTTATGTCGAGCGCGTGTCTAAGGAATAGTCACTACCTATGTTAACGTCGTAGCTTTGACGCGACACCGCGAACGGGAATCTAACCCGGGCAAACGCTTTACCACTAGGTTTCCATGACAGGTGACTGTTAATGGGTGAATGAAGATATATAAACTCAACAAACTCACTGAAATTCCTACATTTAAGTGGTACTTATCCAATTTTTTTGCAAAGATTAAGTGACACTGTTTTGACACTTTGACGTTATCGTCAAGCATAACTAATACCTAAATTAAAATATCATTATTTGCTTATTAACGCATCCTTCTATTTGAAATTTGCTAGGGTGAGTTGACCATGCATCGGACACATTCCTTGCTTCGGACAACTTTAGGCAATAAATTCTCTTTCAGCTTCAGAGTTCCGTGATTTATTTGTTTCTGAAGCTGAGGATTTAAATCTTTTTATAATACCAATTGTAAATATCATGTTAAGATAAAAATACCCCGAGAATGGCCTTAAAGTTACGTCATATTTTACATCGTCAAAGGGGAATAACCAAAAAATTAAGATTTTGCCATTTTTAGAGTTATCGTTCTTTAAATTCGACTTCTACGGAACGAGTCGGACTTGGGTGAATTTTGTCAGGGATGAGTAATTTTACATAAATTATAAAGAAATTTCACTTCAATGTTATTTAATTCTTATTAGAGCTGGTTTTTACTAGTATACTCATTTCACCGTACATCGGACACAAGTTAACCATGCATCGGACACTTTCTGATGCAAAGTTAATCACTACCATTTTCATACAGAACCCAACTGACAGTTGTTTATTTGCGGAAATATAAAATAAAAACACTAAATTTACAGTCAAAATACAAGTTATCGATATTTTACGTCTAGAATCTGACTAAATTTATTTCTACGAACCAGAGTATTTCAATGCATGAGGAAAAGGCGCGAATTACCGCATTACAAGCATTTTAAAGCCTTTCTAGGGCAGAGCAAGGCATTTTGAATCTTTCCATATTTATTCAACATTATCGTTAAAAAAATTTTAATTTGAGGGTTTTTTTAAAGATATAATATAAAAGTATATCCATATCAAGGATTTTGAAGCAATATGAGAGAGGTATGATATTTTCCAGGTCCTAATATCGTCTTTCCGATGCATGGTAAACAAGCTAATTCAGAGAATTCGTGTCCCCCGCTTAGGGAAAAAGTCGGCTCCCCCTGACTGAATTTGTAGAATTATTAAATGTATACATGTATACTGAAGGAAATAAAATACATGTATGTCAATATTCATACAAAGATTTGATTGCTTATTCTTTATTATGTGTATAGAAGATTTTTTTATACGGAATATTTATCACACTGTAATGATGATTTTATAACCTCATAAATTTTTCATTTCACATGCTCAATACTATCACTTAGTAAAAAAAAAAAAAGTATTTACAAAAAAAAAAAAAAAAAAACGAAAGGTTCGACAGAGATTCGATCCCGGGACCTCTCACATTTAAAGCGAGAGACATAACCACTAGACCACGGAGTCGCTTTATACAGACAGAAGTATATGCAGAACTGAAGTCACATACACGTATATATTCATGTTTTCATGTTCGGTTTTCTCAAAATTTTACACAATCCATGGTGTTTGATTTATTTAGCCTTTATTAAACATTTCTAATAGATGTAATAAGAACATAAAGTCCGCCGAGAACCTGTTTTATACGCAATAACTCTCCTCATGCCCCTGCGCTAAAAATAGCGCCATGTAATACTATAAATACTAATAAAACAAACGGGGTGGGGCACTTTGAGAGGGGCGAGAGACGTCCTAGGGAGTTTTGGTATAAAATTACATTGCATAAGCTCAAAATCTTCTTGAAATATCGCCCGGAAATGATAGTATTACATACAGACAGAATGTATAAATTTACGACCTTGATCTTTGACCTTTTGACCTCAAAATCAATAGGGGTCTTCATTAGGCCACAGGGAGTTGTTATATAAAATTTCATTGCAATAGCTCAAATTGTTCTCGAGATATCGTGTGGAAACGAAAGTGTTTTAA